TAGGTGATTTATGGTAGAGGTGGTGAGCTGAACCCTCAGGTTTTACGTAATGCTGCTTTTGGACTGAAGACATTCAATATGGCTAGTACTACAATCCAAAATGTGCTAGACTCTTCCTAAATTGAACCCTGTAGTTGGAAAGGAGAGCAGTTCTCTGGGACAGAATCCCTTCAGTTAGGGTGGTTCCATCCCTTCTCAGGTAGAAGAATGAAGTCCTCTTGAACAGGGAACATAATTGCCACTTTGCACAAAGGGACAATTTTCCTTTGTGCTGGGTATATTTCTGTATTTTTGGAGTTCTGAATTTCCTTGGATATAGCCTGGCAAATAGAATTTCTAAAAGTTGAATCTCTATTGAAAGCTCATTTGGCCCAAAAGTTTGCATTTATATTGCCCATATTTTTAATGCTATTTTCTCCCTCTATTCTGTTTTTCCTTAGTATTAAGGAAGAAAAATGCTTTTAAATGACCACATGACAAGATAATAAAGTTTTGAAAGGAATAGAAAAGGAAAACAGATCTTTGTCTGATTTCCTTTGCCCCTCCCTGTCTGCCTTTGGCTCACATACACTATTACTTTTTGTCCCTGCTTCTTTTCTGTTGCTGTACTTTTCATATTCAGCACACTGATGAGTTTGGAATGTTGCTTTGTTAACTCAAAAGCCTGCAACTGATGAAAAAATTGCATATTCAACAAGTCAAATTTAAGAGTTTTCTGAAATTAAAAAAAATATTTTGTGTTTAATAGCCTGCTTTAAAATTCGGGAAATTGAATCAACTAATACCTTGAAAAGAGGAAAGCACATGTGCCAGAAATTAATGTAACATACTGGTCAACCGATATTTTATCATATAGAACCAAAATGGACACCTAGGAAATATAAAACCAACTCATTGAAAATTATATCTAATTCAAAATTATTAATATTTCTCAAGTAAATATTTGACTTTTTAATAACATGTAAATGCAAATTGATAATTTTTTTGTAGTCTGATAGTTTTCTCATTTCTGGACACCAGAGTGTGCTTGCCACCACATGTAAATATGGGTGAAAATTTATTTTCTGATGGATTAGGGATGTGCACATCCTTTGGTTTCATGAGGGTAACAGATGTCTTGTGGGTAACAGATGTCTTGGCTTTTACAGACTAATTGACAATTGGGGGAAAGGGGATAATTAAAGGGGTGGGAGGAGACACAGGGAAAGTGCAGTCTTCCTTATGGGGAAAAATCTAATAGAGCTCCTTATTACGGGTAATTACCTCCTTCTTCAACTTCATTTGCTATCTCTTTCCTTATGACTCAAGTACAATATAATGGGAAAGTACAAAATAAAGAAATATCAGGCTGGACTACTGTGTGCTAACAACCAGATTTATCCTGTCATGGAATAGTGTAGGATAACCGACTCATTTAAAAGCAGTTTTTAAAAAAACAAAATATGAAAGCATAAGTCTTATCAGTCATCGCAGCTTATATTTTAATTGGCAGCACAAGGATTCTATGTTGAGGATGGTTGACATAAATCTTGTTTAATTATATACCCAATGTGACCATAAAGTGCATTGATGGGGAATGAAAAATTCAAGACTGAATATGCTGTATGTTAGATATATATCTTTGGCTTTTTAGCTTGTTGTTTGTTTTCTGTCAGTGCTATAGTACTGCCAGTTGACCTGGAATAAATGAGAACATTTAGCAGATGTTTGAAGGCATTATCAACAAATTTTCAATTTTGTCAGTGTTTTCCATTGTGCAGCATTTAAAGTAAGGTGTCATTTACTGTGTCTTAACTGTATTACTTAGGTCTATATTACTCTTTCTGATTGATAACCTTTAAAGTAAAGGAAATTTTTATGGCCTGTTAATCAGTGAGCATTCATATTATTTCTCGATGAGAACTATTATGGATCATTTTTATAAGGAGCTACTAGAGAGAAAGTACCAGGTTAGGTACTTAGAAACTTACACTTAACACAAAACTCAGACAACCTGAAAGGTAAGATTATTTATGCTTAATACAAGACACATGCTATTAACTTTTATTGGATCACCTATATCTTCAGCAAATAGGTTGGTAGAATTTGTTTAAAAATATCAACTATTTTAAAAGGTAATTAGGACAATTCAGATAAAGATCTCAATTGTTAATTATTAATATCTTTCTCCTGTCTTAGAATTACATTTTATTTACAATTATTAGAAACTGGTGAGGTGGAAGAATGGCTTCTGTACCCATTTTTTTTTTTTTTTAAATATCAGTTTTGGTAGGATAAAAACAACATTGCTTGAGTAGTCTAATGACCACATTAATTCAGTCACTTGATCTTTTCGAGCCTCATTTAATTATCTATAAAATGGAGATAGTGATAGGTGACTCCCACAGTTTAACTAGGAATTATACGCAATGGTAAACACATGAGAAGCTAACATATGTTTAGTTGTTGAGTACTTTATAGTTATCTTCACTCAGTGGGTCCATTTTCTTTAGTTGCCTTGGTTTCTAGACTAGGCTTCTCTGGAAATAGAAAACTTAAGAAGACTCCAACGAGGAGTCGAGTAGCAAATGGTCTGAGATGGTGTGTCAGCAGAGTTATTCTTCGCAACTCAGCCCCTTAAAATATGAGATCGAAGAATAACTACAATGGAGTCAGTTTCTTAATGTCAAAGAATTTTCCATATTTTGTAATTGTGAAAATCAATAAATTGTAAATTCATGGATTTATAAATGTTGGCACCACATGAGACTTCAAGATTTCTGTACCCACTGCCCTCCCCCAGTTTATTTCCCATTTTCAGAGGAAGGCACCGAGACCCTGTAAGGTTAAATATCTTCTAATAGTCAATCAGCAAGTGAGTGACAGAGCTAGGACCAGGAACTTCATCTTTTCCTGAACTTTATCTAGACCATCACCAGACACCATTCTGCTGTGTGACTGTCTGGGTTTTAGCCTGAACCATTAAAAGAATGAGAACATTGAACTCACTGGGAAAAGCAGTCAGACATGCATTTCTTTGTTATGCCTTTTAAATCTTTTAAATGGTCTGTGTACCTTAGTTCATTCAGTCATTCCTTTATGAATTACAAATATATTTTGATTATTTACATAGAACAACCAGCTTTATCCTCTCCAGTAGAAGACATAGTCATTAATATTAACATAGTATTTGCTATGTACCAGGCGTTGTTTTGAGGACTTTACACAGATTAACTAATTTATTTTTTACAATAATACTACGAGGAGGATATTCTTCTTATCTTTCATATAAGGAAATGGAGGCACAGAGGGGCCAAGTAATGCCCAAGATTACAAAGCCCGTATAACCAGGATTTGAAGGTCTTTGTTAGGTTGGAATTGGAAGATACTAGGGAGAGAGAGCTTTCACTTTCAAAAGATATCTGAGTGGATGGATCCTTATTATATAAACTGTCTTTTATGCAAGAAAACTGACTTAAAATTTACATCACCTAGATTTTATATATCAACTTCGACTGGATTCCAATCAATCTAGATTATAAGATTCTACTCTAGCACATAAATATCAACATCGGGGTATGTTTATTTATATTGATTGCCATTGGAATAGAAGAGTGAGCTATTATGCTTGATCCAATGTTGATAACAAAACAGTATTTTATTTTATGATTGTATTTCTTTTAACACATAGAAATAAAAATGTTTGAGGATGATATTTTACTGGTCAAGAAAAATTATCAAAAAAGAGATAATTTCTATTAATTAATATGTAATTTGTTCTTTCTTACTCATCCAGTTATACAGGAATATTGTTCATATTTGCTTTTGTATTGGTATTTGAAGTTGAGTATAAAAATTGCCATTTATGTATCAAATATTTTACAGGTATAAAATCAGCTGAAATTTAACTAGTAATTTAAAGACTTTAACTTGAGAAAAATGATTGTATGGTAAAATTTTGGACATTCAGATAATTGTAGGTGGCAGTTATGTTTTAAGAAGTTCATTAAAGTAATACAAAAAGCTTACCCCATTTGAGAACAATATGATTAAACAAAATTTAAGTAAATTGCCTACAACTACTGAACTTTTCACGCTGACAGATATTTCACATTAGACCAGAAGTACTGCACCACTTTGAACATGTGAGTTAATGAGGGGTGTGTGTGTGTGTGTGTGTGTGTGTGGAGTGATAAGTGGAGAATGTGGAGGAAACTTATGAAAAGAACAGATTAAATTTAGCTAAGTCTAATTTTTGAAAGTTTTATTACTCTAGATATATGAAATTTTACAATTGATGTTTTGCTTTATTGAATACATGTATTCATTAAAGAAAATTGCTGATAGATCATGGTCTATGTTCAGAAAAACCTCTCATTCTAAGATGCTTTCCTTATTGAAGAAGGAGACATGTAATGGCTCATCAGTGTCTTAAAGGTACCATGACAATAACAATAATGTTAAAATATCATAGAATATACAACATGTTAAGAATCGTATTATTAGAGCTTTATTAGAGCTGTGAATATCAATGGTTAGGTTTGTATTTAGCACATTCACTTAGAAGTTTAAAGGAGAAAGGGTAAACGAAAATAATACACTGCACTGTTTGGTTACACTGCGGCTGTAACCACATTAAATGTTCTACAAGTGATGCCAGATAGTACTCCATGGTTGCCGTGTTACTGTATCCTAGTGTTTCATAGAATCTGTTGATTTAGGAATGAACTGATCAAGCTTAAGAAGGAGGGATTTAGACCAGAGATGAGAAAATTGTTTTAAAATGTAATAGCAACTGAATAAATTCACAAAAATACAAGCAAAGTAAATGATGATTGGGCAACCTGTTTAACAAAACACATGACTGAGGGAGGAACAACATTAGCATGTGTTTATCCAGTGCTGTTTATTTAAATCCTCCCTCAATTTTCATGAGATTGAATTTCTGCACTCAAATATTATAAAATAAATTTGCATGATATCTTTTGTACCTTAAAGCTTTTTGCCTTATACTTTCCAGGATTGAAGTGTGTATGTCTTTTGTGTGACTCTTCAAACTTCACCTGCCAAACCGAAGGAGCATGCTGGGCTTCAGTTATGCTAACCAATGGAAAAGAACAGGTGACCAAGTCCTGTGTCTCTCTCCCAGAATTAAATGCTCAAGTCTTCTGTCATAGCTCTAACAATGTCACCAAAACTGAATGCTGCTTCACAGATTTCTGCAATAACATAACACTACACCTTCCAACAGGTAAGGGGTTTACCTTTGTTCATTCCAATTTAATTTTATTCTTGGGAAATCATAAACATGATGGAAATTAACCTAGTTTATGTTTTAAATAAGAAAACTTGTTTTACGATTCTCTCACTTTTTTTTGTGGGGAAGGGACTGGAAATATTCTCTAGAGCCTCGCTAAGGTTTTTCTGTTTTGTTTTTTAAATTGCACAAGACTGTCAAACCATTGACATCATCATTACAATTCTGAAGAAATTTGTCCACATGAAATGTATTTTTGGAAGTGATTAATGGACCTAAAGTAAAATGTATATTTTTAAAGGAAGTACGTTGGAATGTATACCAATGAGAAAAAAAGACAAAGAGCAAAACTAAAAATAATAGATTCTCAACTTTTATGGAGACAGAATTGTTTTTTTATGGGTATTTTCTGCTCAGCTTCTTTACCCACGTTCAAGATGAGAGCACTCATTAGCAGAAAGACAGGTAGAATGGAATTTGACCCTTCATTATTGTTCAGATATGTTTCTGTCTTTCCCTCAATTTCATGGTACTTATTTCAATTTACATAATACTGAAAACCTTAATCTCTCCTTTAATCAGTAATTTGGAATCTGAAACTTTGGGGGATATTAAAGGGCAAGTAATTCAAATTAAAAACTAACTTTTGACATAAAAATGTTGTTAGTGAATCTTCTTCAATATTTATTTATACAGTAAGAATTCATTGTTTATTGATGTGCTACTATCTCTACACAGATCCATACTCTTCCTTATAAATTAACATTGTAAGGTACTGTTATCCAATTTCAGGTGTTCATGTCACCTTATCCATATTTCATTATAATATTTTAACCTACTTTTAAACTAACTTAGCTGCCTCTTTTTTTTTTATTTTTTATTAAAGAACATTTATTTTATGCAGAAGCTTGGAATCATTACCACAAATGAAAAACTGGTTTACTTGCCCTAAATAGAAGATAACTACATAAATAAGCACAAAAGCATTTCTACTGCATTTCAATTATATATTTTGTATTTTTAATTAGAGAATAAAGAGATGTTGAAGACATACTAGTGTGAAATGAGGTTTTTTGATACATAATCAGAAAAACTAAGAGAACTAGAGAAGAAATCATTATGTGATTCAGTGTTATTTACTATCATGTTTGGTTTTCCATTCCAGTTTATCTCAAGAATCCTTAAAATAATGTTATGTATCACTGCTGGTACTTATCCAACTCTTTGGAAAACACTATTCTGAGGCATTACATACATATTGCAACCTCAGAAGGCATACTTGACGTATTTCATCCCTCAAGGCTACTTGCAGTCTTTCTTTTTGAACCACACTTATTCTCTGTCTCAGATTCCATAGATTCCTTGGTTTAGTAGTGATCTGATATCTATTCTGGACACCCTAAAGTGAAGTCTCCTATATTTGATGCTTGTCTTACCCATGACCAAGATTCAAAAAATTAAGGAGAGGAAGAGAAGTCTCCGCATTAGTATGTGACACTGGTCCCTTTAATATCTTCTCAATAATGAATTATCCACAAGACCACATTCTGCCAGTCAGTAGCAGTACAAGACAGTATTTTGACTGCAACAAATGGACTTTAAGGACCCAGCAGTTCATATGCAGGTGGGCAAGTTAGAGGTAGTTAATGCTGCTGGAATGTAGGGCCTTCCCAGCCCAACTATAAACTTAGCCTAACTACTAAGTAGACTATTCTAGTCTCAAGTCTAGTCGGGAACCAGCCTTTCCTTTTTTAAAAACTAATTTTATTGAGATATAAGTCAGATATAATGAAGCACACACATTTGAAGTGGACTGTTGGATGAGTTTTGACACACACGTGCACCTACGTAACCACTACCACATTTCCATTACCCCATGATGATCTGTCAGTCCCCACTTTCATTAGAGCTAGATGGCTGATCTGTTTCCCATTGCTGTAGATTAGATTTATTTTTCCTAGAGTTTCACATAAATGGAGTCCAATGGAACATATTATTTTGCCTTTGGTTGCTTTCACTCAGCATGTTTTTGAGATTTATTCATGTCGAGTATATCAGTAGCTTGTTTTTTAACAGTGGTTAATAGCCCACTGTATGACTATACTGTAGTCGTTTTTTGTTTGTTATTTGTTTTTTTATCTATTTATTCATTGATGGGCAGTTAGCTTTTTTACATTTTGGCACTGTTATTAACAATAAGCTGCTCTGAACATACATTCAGGTATGTTTTCATTTCTCTTGAGAAAATAACCTGAGTGGAATTGCAGGATTATATATAAATATACGCTCCCAAATAGTTTTCAAACTGTTTATACCATTTCACAACCACAGCAGAAATGTATGATAGTTCTAGTTAGTCCATATTCTTGCCAACACTTGGTATAATCAATTTTTTTTTTAATGTTAGCATTCAAGTGATTGAATTGTGGTATTTTATTGTAGTTTTAATTTTCATTTCCCCGATAACTAATAATGTTTAATTTTTTTACATGTGCATCTAGGACATTTATGTATCTTCCTTTATAAATTATCAAATCTTTTGCACATGTAAAAAATTGTTTTACCTTATGGTTGAATTGAAGAATTCGTTATATAGTCTGAATATGTCCTTTCTCAAATGTGTGTATTATAACTATTTTCTACTATTCTGTGGATTGCTGTCTTGTTTTCTCGAAGGTGTGTTTTGCAGAGCAGGAGATTAAAATTTGATGAAGTCTATTTTATTTTTAAATTATTATCATGGTTCACTGTTTCATGTCTTAATTGAGGAGTCTTTATCCAAAGATAATAAATATATGTTTATATTTTCTTCTATAAATTTTAACATTTCAGATTTTTACATTTAGGTCTATGTTCAGTTGCACTTTAACTTTTGTTATTTTATAAGGTTAAAGTGGAGTTTTATTTTTTTCTGAATGGATACAAAGTTTTTCCCGTATAATTTATTAAGAAATATTTCCTTGCAATTACCCTGGCACTTTGAAAATAAAGTGATCATATATTTGTGGGTATATTTCTGGCCTCTTCTGTTCGAGTGTTCTGTATGTCTATACTTATTAAGTATTAAAATTAGGTCTTATGACCCCTTCAAGTTTTTTTTTTTCAAAATTGATTAGGCTGTTTTAAGTCCTTTGCTTAAACTTTAGAATCAGCTTGACAATTTTTATAAAACACATGCTGAGATTTGGATTAGATTGAATTGAATGTATACATTAATTTAGAGAAAACAGTCATGTTAACAACAATAAATATTTTGATCAATGAACGCACTATGTTTTTCCATTTACTTGCTTTTTCTTTAATTACTCTTAGTGGTGTTTTGTAGTTATCAGAGAACAGGTCTTATACATATTTCATTGAATTTGTCTCTTAAGTATTGAATATTTTTGGATGCTATTGTGAATGGTATTTTATTTTTAAGGGATAAAACTCCACAGACAGAGCGCGGTCTCCTCTCAGAGGCAGAGAGTGAGAGGGACAGTGAGAAGGACAGCAAGAGAGGGACAGAGTAAAGGCACTGAGAGAGTCCATGAATGGTATTTTAATACTTCAATTTCTAAATGTTAATTGCTAGTATATAAAAATTAATTTTTTTATATCCACCTTATTTTCTATAAGCTTGCCAAAATAATTTATATTAGTTCTAGTAGCTTTTTTTACTGGATTTTTTGGGGAGGCATTTTTACATAGACAATCATCTGTGAATACGGACAGTTTTAGATTTTCCATTCTGATCTGTATCTATTTCATTTCCTTGTCTTGCCTTTTTTCACTGTCTAGGACTGCCAATAGGATGAATAGGAGGTCTGAGAGTGAAGTTCCTTGCCTTTTTCATGGTCATAGGAGGGATGCATTCAGTCTTTTACCATTAAGTATGGTGATAACCGTAGGTTTTTTTGTAGATGCCTGTTATCATTTGAGGAAATTTACTTTTATTTCTAGTTTAGGAGAAAGTTTTTATTGTGAATAAATATTAAAGTTTTCAAGTATTTTTATGAATTTATTGAGGTTATCACATAATTTTTCTTTTTTTAGCCTATGTAATCATATTTATTGATTTTCATATATTACTTATAACAGGGAAGATATGTGTTGTCTAGCCAGTAATTAATATCTACAAAAACATCCTATGTGCTTTTAATTTAATTCAAATTTCTTTTCTTAAAATTTGACGCAGCAATTGCACTTCTGGGTATTTATCCAAAGAAAACCAAAACAATAATTCGTAAAGATGTATGCACTCCAATATTCATGGCTGCACAATTTACAATAGCCAAGATATGGAAGCAACCTAAATGCCCATCAACAGATGATTGGATAGAAAAATTATGGTTCATATATATAATGGAATATTACTCAGCCATTAAAAAAAAAGAAATCCTACCATTTACAATGACATGGATGGACCTAGAGGTTCTCATGCTGAATGAAATAAGTCAGACAAAGATAAATACCATATGATTTCACTTATATGTGGTATCTAAGGGATAAAAAAACAAACTAATCAAAAATAGACTCACAAATATAGTGGACAATTTCATGATGGACAGGTTGGGGGGTTTGGGGGGTTGGGAGAATGGGGCTAAGGGTTAAAGAAGTACAAATTAGTAGTTGATAGTTGGACACGGGGATGGGGAGCACAATAGAGGGAATGCAGTTAGCATTAATATGATGGCTAGGTGGAGGGCCAAGGGAGCGAAGGTGAAATTGGGCGGATCATTTTATGAACTATATAAATGTCTAACCAATGTACTATATACTTGAAACTAATTTAAATAAATAAATAAATTTTAAAAAAGGTAAGAATGTGTTTCATTTAGTGACGTTGTATGGTAAATTGTCATTAAAGTGAATAGGACTGCATGTGTAGTCATCTCGTGGCAGGGTGTTCTCTCTGTGAAGCAGCGCTGAATCATTATTAGCTGTATTTGGAACATCAGCTATTTGGAGAGGCGTTGGGAACCTCCAGGCTGAACACTGACACAGCCAGTGCC